ATTAAGCAAGCGCTTCCATTGCATTATAATGTTACACACACGCTATTACAGTCATTTATTGCTACTATATATACATGCAGCATGCAAGCCTTATATGCATACATATATATCTGCATGGTTCTTTTTTAATTATCCAGTGCTAAAACGTTCATTTCTAAAGGGAAGAAGCCCAAACACGAGACATGGCTAGTAGGCAGTAGCCAATAAAAACAGTCACGTATGATGGTGATTTCTTCCTAATGAGAGCTAGGTCAAGGTGAACTCATGGACCACCTCCGCCTGGAGAACCACCAGTGCCAGTGCCACCACAACTGTAACCTTCGCGATAACCTTCTCCAAAACCAGAGCCACTGCTGCCACCTGCACCGCCGCCACCCCACCTCCTCCTCCGTCTCCTCCTCTATAGCTTCCACCACTAGCATCGCTACCGGAGCCACTACCAGAGCCAAATCCATAGCCGGCACCACCTGCACAACTACCATCTCCACCACTTCCTCCTCCTCCTCCTCCTCCTCCTCCACCTCCACCCCCACCACCAACAAGACCACCGACAGAAGTTGACGGTAAGGTAGAATGTGGTACAGAAGTTGGAGGAGGCCCTGCTGATTGGACACAAAGGGCAAAGCTTATAATAAGCATAATTGCTGAGCAAACCAAAAGTGAATGACCCCTGATTTCTAGTCACTCATGTAGGGAACGGTTTAATTTTCCTTGCACTAGTGCATGGTTATGGCAAAGGCAGTAGTTCTATATATATACTCTCTCGAGGGGGAGGCGTAAAGGTCGCGATAAATCGAGCTGTACCGTATACATGCATTGGAAGCGAGTAATTGTAATAAATCTTTTATTGTTGCATCTGTAACCAACACATGTAGCGAAGCACGCATGCAGATGTTGGTCTTACATCATTGCATCATCTAATTTCATTTCGAGTATAAATAACAAGCCCTGGTACTGTCATGTTTTCTGGGCCTGAGGCGTTACACTAGAGATTCGTCTTTTGCACAAAAATAGTAATTAATATTCACAAGGGACTCTAGGTTCTTAATTAGATCTTGACCAAATAAACAGGAATTGGGGCTTTAAGATAGCTTTTAGAATTCGAACCCCTGGACATTTGTAGAACCTTATCTAGAGATGAATATTCTTCCTGTTTTTGCGTGCCTGCATTGAAAGATAACTAGTTAAGCCCATACTAACTACCTGTTCTAGCTGCTGCGGTTTCATCTCCAGGAGATCTTCTTATCTGCTGCTACTGGAGTTTACGCAGTGGAGTACCATTTTGAGCCTTCTGGAGTCGTGGCTGTGCTTTGATTTACATTTTTACTGCATTTTCTTTGATTTTTTTTTTTGTAGCAATATCCTTATCTTATAACATGACTATTTCCCTAATAAAATAAATCAATTAGCTGTTTAATTTTTTAGCTAATAGTAAGGGGTGTTCGCCACTTAATATAGACATTCTTTACGTCAATAATTTTTTTATCTTTACGTCAATAATTATACAAAGATGTCGAGGCCAATTTTGTCCGTTGATAATTCATGTTTAGTTCAAAGTCTTGCTAGCTTCGTTAGATTTTTGTACACTAATCAAAATTAAGAATTTTTTTTTTGGCAAAGAAAAACATGGAAATTAAATAGTCTAACTTTCAACAACCCACTTTACATAGGAGAGGATGAAAAATGATTCTTTTATTTATTCTTATTTAAACTGTAATTTTTTACTGATTGATGATAAAAAAAACTCGGCCCAGCGGTGCTATAAGGTAGCTTGGTTGGCCCATTGACACCAAGAGGCTCGTATATTTACTATTTTAGTGAATTTCATTGTCTTTACCTCGTTCATGAATAATATTATTCAGCTAGAGCTACTAGTGAAAAATGTCACCTTTCATGGTGAGCCACTCCAGATATTTTTTATATATTTTTAAAGATGTGCTATATATTCTCAGATTTAGCAAAAAAAAGAAGGAAAATAATTCATCTCAACAATACTATAAAAAAAAAAGAGGCATTACGCTTATAGCATCTCTCCATTACACTAGGGGACCTGTCCACCATAGAATAAATAGATCTCTTCTCTAAAAAACACAATTCTCATCTACTTAATTTTTTATTTGCTTTGTTTGCCATTTGACAGGAACCGAACTCAAAAACTAGTGTTTTTTATTCCGCTAAAAACTTTTTATACAGATATAACTCAGGTTTTGAACTTAATCGGGAAAAATCCACTTTTATATCAAGTTTTTCTACTATTTCATCAACAAAAAGTATAAAGAATACAAAAAATATCAAAAATTTGAGAGGTTACAAAAAAAAAGAAGGTTTCTTGATCTAATCCAAGCAAGTACAAAAGGCTTATTTTTTTATTCTTAAAAAACCAATTCAATTAAATTGATAAATATAGATTTATAATATAATTTATATTATTTTTAATACATATTTGTGAAAAAAATTTAGATTTGAAATTCACATAAACTCATACTATTTTATATTTAATTTGTGAAAAAATTTTAGATTTAAAATTCGCATAAACTCATACTATTTTATATTTAATTTTTATCAAATAAATAAAGATAATAAAATTCGAGCTCATGATTATTTAGTTATTAAAATTTTAATGCTCATGATTGTTTAGTTATTAAAATTTTAATATTATATCAAATAATTAATTCAACCTAAAAATTTAAATATAAATATGTTAAAATGTTTAATTTTGTATCGAGCTTGGCATAGTGTTTCTAATTTTTATTAAAGTCTACCAAGAAAAAAATTTAAGCTTAAATACTAATAAAATTACAGGATACTTCTTAACAGAAGCAACACCATCAGTTGGAGAATTGGGTGCAGCTAGAGGCCTAGAATCTCAACCCATGTATACGCGTTGGACCTGCGTATCACCAGCTCACAATCCATCCACTGCCTGAAGAAGGAGCGTTTTTTTTAATGCTATGTGAAATCAGTCTCCAGCAATGCCTGACTCACGTCAGGCTTGGATCGGGAAGGCTAGGTAAGTTGCTTCAACAAACCAAGCTCATTTGATTGGGACAGCGTTTCATCACCTCGAAGACCCCCCTAGGTTTACAGGCGAGCCTTACCATGTCCGAAAATAAAGGTCAGTGCGAAGGAATAATAAATTGCACGTGTTTGGTAAATGCTTATATAAAATAGATAAAAATATAAAATAACCAAATACTCTTATAAAATTGTTTGTTGATATATTGTTTTTTATGTGGGATTTCTGATGGTTTTATCCTTATATCTTTCTCTAAAAAACACTTTGTTTCAAGAAAAACTTATAAGTTAAAATTTTTTAGAATATAAACATGTTTTAGTGAAAACATGTTGGGTTCGGTGCTAGTTAAATATAATTATAATTATGTTTGATAATGTATTAAGACTCAAGCATGTTAAACTTAATAATGTATTTAGTTTAGGCACGTTAGGCAGGCCTTAGCTAAATTCAAAAAATAATTAAGTATAATTATAATTTTTAAACTTTACTTGATATTGACATGATATAATAATTAAGTTAAAAAAAAAAAAGAAATTCTAATGCAACACTCTCCTAGCATTTTCAAGTATTCTTAGTCTTAGTGTTTAGTCATTTCACTCTTTCATCAATATGTACATGTTAAACAATAACAAATTATTAAACTACATCTTATATGTTTTGCATTAACAATAACAAATTATTAAACTACATCTTATATGTTTTGCATTAACAATAACAAATTATTAAACTACATCTTATATGTTTGGCAAAATGCAGGCTTTTATTGCTAAAGATGAAAATAAAAATTATGATGAGTTCCTTATAATAAAATGATTCAGATCCCCTTATTTCGTGTTTAGATTATTCCATTGAAGAGGATTTGCGTTCCTATTTTCACACCTTTGCACAACATAAACAAAAACCAGCAATTGAAGTGAGCAATTTGATGGCTTCTTGAAACAGGTATGGCGGATCATAAACTAGTTTGCCCAAAACTGGGAAGATGTAGATAAAAAACTAATTTAGGAAACATGAATTACCCATGTAATTAAATAACAACAAATTAATTAATAAAAAACCAGAAACCAAAAAAGTCAAAAAGCCACAACAAAGATCCATTGGTGATTTAATAACCATCATACTGTTTTACCTGAAAGAATAAAGCAATGAAGAACAGAAAATTGAAGAGAAACACGTAACAACAAATGGTTTTGTCATTGTATTACCTACAACCTAGGATCTCTCGGCTCTACACCGTTTAACTCTGCCAGCATCTTGTTAGCATCTCTCTCCTCATTGCATGTTGAGAAGATTTTAAGATTTAAGGAGGAAGCAAAGGCAAATAGGCAGGCTTCAGAGATTGAAAGATTAGGCTTTCTGTGATTCTCCTTATGTTGCAAAAATGGTTTGATAAATTGATAGTTAAAAGCTAAAACGATGGAGTTTTATTTCTATATATATAAAAAAATTAACTGGGTTCCATCTAGGTTCACTAGGGATAGTCAGGTTTCGGGTCGATTGGGTTTGGCTAGGCTAAATTCCTTATTGTTTTTTTTTAAACTCGGCTAGGTTTTAGTTCTGGATTCCAAATCAATCTGTCAAACTAGGTTTTAAAACTATAAACCTATCAACATCAATTTTGTAGGTTTTTATATAAAATAATAAATGAATTATTTCTCAATAAATAAATTTAATTAAATAAATATATACTCTACCCACTAAAAACTTACAATATATTACACAAAATCACTATTCATGAAAAATCTCATGAATAAAATTCTACTATTATAAAAGAAAAGAAAAGAAATCATGCTATCGATTTATTACCGATGCTGTCCTTTTAATTCATACACATTTGCTATGTGGAGGTAGGTTGAAGCAATCCTATATAGCATTGAATATGGAACATTGCAAGGTACAGGTTGCGACTTGCGAATGATAATCTGTTGTAAAGTCGCACAAGAAGTAGACATCAAGCATTGAAGTGTTATGTGTGTGGACACAAATGGCCGTCAATCAGGTCAGCTTTGAACCAAAAGCAGCACTAAACCACATGGTACACAGATTGGCAAGAAAGGTAATTAATTGCTGCGGAACAAGTTGACAAGCTGGTATTTATAGAGAAAGTTCCCGTTGATTCAGTGGACATGTATGGTCCTGCATTGTGCAGTACATCATGATATGACCTCTTCGCCCTTGTATTGCGTTGACGACAGTCTTCAGTTTGCACGAATTAATTACATGGATATACTAATCCTTCTTGCAAGTGGATTCTACTTTTACATGGATGACTAAAGCAATGTTTTTTTCCTCTAATTCGCTTCAGATTGGAGAGCATAGGTTAGGGCATTATGGGAGTATGAATGCATGTTCATCATGCCCTTACTGCCCTGATCTTGAGATTGATGACGCCTACATGTAGCAGGTAGAAAACTGCATGCAGGTAATGTATGCACAAATTTACCTTGGATTTTATGTCCCTGATGGCATGGGATAAAAACACTAACAAGGACAGAAGTTTTTCACGAGTTGTCCTCACGGGGGATAGATTCAGGTACTCCACAGCATTTTTCGGATTGACATGAGCTACATAATGGATTAACGTGCCTTCTTTGTGGCTTGCTTTCTATATAAATGAAATTGGATTTCAAGCATAACCAAAAAGTATTTTCTATCAGAAAAAAATTAAATATGAAGCAATTCTGTTATTTTTTCATTGTCCTGCTCTCTGTGGTATATATGTTATACGGTGAGGTTGATGGTTGCGATACAGATTACGGTGGATGTCAAGGAAGCAATGGGGTTGGAGGTGCGAGTGGTAGAAATTGTGATGATAATGGTGGGGATTTTGATTGTGGACAAGATCAATGTGGTGTAGGAAATAATGGTGAGTCTAGTAGTGTGGGCGGGGGTGGAAGAGGATCGGGTGGATTTGGAAGTGGTTTTGGTTTTGGAGGTGGCAGCTATGGAGGAGGAGGCGGTGGGGGAGGAGGCAGCGGCTATGAAGGAGGGGGCGGCGGGGCAGGTGGAAGTGGTGGAGGAGGCGGGGGAGGTGGAGGTGGAGTTGGAAGTGGCGGGGGGGGGGGGGGGGGCAAGGTCAGGGGTGCTCCTAGCTAGGTTGTCAAATAAGTGTTAAATGCAGGACCGGCTTGCTTTAATTTGTTGGTGCCCATTTCAGTGGCCATAAATCCATGATGTTTCCATTTTGTAATACATAAACCCTTCAATATTGTTGTGTTCATCTAGCTAAAATATCTTTCATTATCTTAGTGTCTGGTAAGTTTGTTTTCAGGTGGTAGGGATGTTGCATTATTGGTCCGTCTCAGCATTTATGCATGTAATCACTATCATATGCTACCTAAATTTCCTGAGAAGTTATCTTCTAGCATATGATAGTGTCTTGAATTGAATAAATATACAAGAATTATGGGATAGCTAGTGACTTATTTTTTTTATATAAAGTATTCTACGGAAAATATAATTAAGACTTAGCTAGTGTTATTAAAAAAATAAATTATATGAAAAAAATATTAATCTTAAGCACTGACCACCTCAACATACAATCTAAACATTTAACTGATCAATACTTATATAAATAAAATTTTAAAATTTAACTCGAAATCATTAAATTAAACAATAAAAAATTAAATTTTAAATTTTATTCCAATTAATATCATCAACATCGAAAACTAATTTTTTATAAGTGATCTAAATAGATCGCAAGATCCCAGGTCAAATGGCTTTGCATTGAAATTTCGTATAAAACAAATGATTATATTCCTGAAAAAAAAAAAGTTAAAACAATCTACCACATTCATCCATTATATATCATCCATTGCATAAAACAATTCCAAAACTTTCAAGTCACAGAGCAATAAATTAAAAAAAAAAAACATCAATGATATCATTTTCCATATCACAAAAAAAAAAAGCATCATCATAATTAATAATTCTTCCGTAGGCTGTCTGGTGGTAGTATCATTCTTATGCCCTGAAATTTACTATTGTTAAGTGATTATGCAGTACTTCGGGTGTAGTGATCATTTATATTCATATAGTCTTACAAATAATCTTCCTAAACAAGTCTCAATAATATGTTAAGAGAACAAGGCACTGGTGAGTATGTATTGTTCATATGAATTCGAGGTTTTGCTGGGATATTATTCATCTTGCATTTGTTTTATGCTTCTTTTGCTTTTTGGCAGATTGGTTTTCTTTCTCAGAACTAGCAACAGCAAATCAACAAAACAATTGTATCAAAGGGATGCCAACAACTATTTTGCTCTTACAGGTCAAGATAGCAACAAAAAAAATAAATGCAATATGTAGGGCAGCAGTATCCTCACATGAACTAAATAAAATTAAATATGAATAATTATAGCAAAGATAATCTAGGAACCGCCAAAATAGAAGGAATCCTAAGAGACAACTTGGGTACATGGTTTCAAGGTTTTGCTATTAATACAGGTATTTATTTATTAGTAAAGACAGAATTGTGGACTATTATCACTGGTTTGAACTAGCTTGAACTCTTGAGTTTAAACGGATCATTTTAAAATTGGATTCTTCATCGCTAATTATAAGGCTAACCGTTAAAGTAAATGCAAATTATACCCTAATTATAAAATTACGAGAGCTTATAACTAAGGACTGAGAGGTTCGAATTTAACATGTATTTAGAAAGGTTAACACAATACTAAATTAATTTGTAAATTATAATTTTACTAAAAATCTAATTAGTAGAAATAATTGGATTATTTAGAATCCACCATCAAAATTGTTTTTGACTTTGTACTATACTCTTATTGGATCCAGTCTTCCCCATTCCTCGTTTAATATAGTTTCTTTCTCGGGCTTTTAGCCCCGATTTCCCAAAAACAAAAAAAACAATTGTATCTGTTGCTTTTGTAGCCTTTGAGTAGCTAGATATGCTCAACCCGTGACAGCAACAAATGTCATGCAAGTTTAAACAATAGATCCTATTTCTTCCAGGAATTTATAGCCAATAAATGCATACATTTAGCGGATATATAAAACCTGCTGCATGACATTGAACGTACAGGTGGTATCCATGCAAAATGTGAGTTAGATTTTGTCTGACACATATTAGCCAATCAAATGATTAATAATATAATAATAGCTGAAGCTGCGTGCAATTTTTATCTTTTTAGCTAAGAAACACATGATTCAACACAACACTCTTATACATGGATTTAAACTGTGTTGTGAAGTATATAATCTACTAGTAATATCAATATCTTAAGAAATCGCGGTGTGTGTAGCTCTGGTGTTATACATGATCAGCAAGGTGGAGAATGGATGTCCGATTAAAGCTAAAACTTGCTTCAACTTAATATCTATCGCTGAAGTAGTCAACTATTTGTTATTATGGTCCCTATAATGCTACATCCACAAAACTTAATACATATATTTTGATCATGGAAGCAAAAATCAGTAGTGCCCGAAAGGATCGTATTCTAAACGCCAGAAACTGACATGTATGCTTGGGCTTCTGGGTTAATTTGTTTTCTACTACAGATCACAAATAATTAAAACAAGAGAAGCAATTGTTTGTGCATGATAGTTTCCAGCTGAGACAAAAATGCAGTTTTTTGCGAACAATACGAAGGACGTTACTACAATTAGCATTGAAACATGAGATAACAACACAAAACATCTTTTTTTTCAGTGACAACAGCACAAAACATAAGATGTCTCCAAGGAGACAACTATTTGATAAGGACAGCGACTAATTATAACTAGTACTAAGTACAACGACCTGTCTCAGACAGTTCCCTAAAACACCAAACAAAGCAAGAAAGAACACGAAGCTAATTATTGACTTAAGGCAATGGTGGAGTCGAACCACCTGCACCGCCACCCAAACCTCCTAAACCACCAAGACCACCAGTGCCAGTAACACCTCCTATTCCACCAACCCCTCCAACCCCTCCATAATTCCCAAGTCCACCAAGGCCACCAATAATTGGCAGTCCACCAATGATACCAGCGTAGCCTCCCATCCCAGCAAAGCCACCAACACCACCATATATGAAATTCTTTTTGTCCTTAAGACCAGTGCTGCTAGGTGACTCGGCCATTGGTGCACTAGCATGCAACACTTGCTCTTCACTAGGCACAGCATTATTGCTATCAAGATCAGCATCACTAGGAACAGTACGTGCAGATGCATGCACAAATGCTAAAACAATCACAAAAATCACAACCCAGCTAGCCATCTCCCTCTCTCTTTCTCTCTTCTTTGGAAGTAATAACTGAGCTTGTGGTTTTGCATGGGTGTGGGCTTTATAGGGATTTGAAGGGTGGCTAACGGTTGAGGATAATAAAGGGGTTATAATAAATGACAATGAGACATAGCTCTCATAATCTCGAGAAGGGAAATTCTTTGAATTTAGTATCAGAGAATTAGGTGAATCAAAAGGAGTGAGATTTATGGAAGTCATGTGTCATGTTATTCAAGTGAATTGCCAGGTTTGTTTATGGTTTTTGACTTGTACGTACCTTCAATTTTAAACGCTCCCAAATCATAACATTCTTGTCCTCTGGGATAGATTAGGGATTAACAGAATCTAAAACGAGCAATCCTTTATAAATCATAACATAGAGTAATCATCATCTTATATATATGCATAGCTGACTCTGTGACATGTCACCATAGATATATTGATCATCAATATTGTATTCCATACATGTGTTAGCCAGAGAGGAATAATAATATTAGAGATACGACGCCATTATTATAGTTGAACTTGAAACTTTAATCACATCTTGATACTGAGGTGAAGGGTTAACTAAATTTAATGAGCAGTTTATATATATGTTATGTTTTTGGATTTTGAACTTCTTGGGAAATAACATCAACGAAAATTTGAATCAGACATATAACCTATTGAGTTTATAATGGCTTCCTCCTAAATCAATTCCTGATCTCATCTTCAATAAGAGTTTGATTTACTCCAAAATCCATTGAAATAATGTCAATAAAAGCTAGATAATGAGCTAACACTATAGAGACTCGGACAGCTTTTTGAAGATGAATAGTTTAAGGGAGGGAGATTTAACTAGAGCTAGCTTCACGTCCGCATCTCCATTCACCATCTGAGGGTAAAAAATAATTTTTTTTAAAAAAAAAGGAACAAGCATTCTAGCTGGCCTTGAGTGGGTGAGGGCCTTAAAAATCAACAGTATAGATCTTCTTTTCGTGTTGATCCGGGTTATGTTCAGGTTTGGCAAGATGGTCCCCGAAAAGAGAGAATGTGATCGGAGGCGGTTCTAGACTAGGACCATCTATAAGCCTGCTACAGTTAAGCACCTTAACTAGCTGAGGACCCACGCAATGCTTGCAGCTGGATTATATTTTATAAGTAAAAAAAATCATTTTCAGATGCTGCAACCATGCTTTTTTTTTAAAAAAATGAAAATTTCTTATAAATTTGATTGAATTAAATAAGTTTATTTTATTTTAATTAAATAATAAAAAATATATTTGATTATAAAAAAAATAGGCAACAATAATAAATAATAAATGAACCAAACTAAAAACAATAATTACAATAAATTGAAAAAATATTTTCTTAAAAAAATGATGTAATTTAATTCTCAATTCATTAAATATAAAAAGTTAAAATTAAAAAAAAATTAAAAAAAAATCATTTGAATTCAACATAAGTTAGTATGACAAACTTTCCAAGTCAAGTAATAAGAACTGAATCAACCTTTGTTAACTTGAATTACCCATTAAACTCGTAGCCTAGTTCATGAGATAAGGATAATCTAATTAAAAAAATAAAGAAATTTACAAAGTTTTTTTAAAAAAAACAATGTTGAAAGTTGAAAAAAAATATTAAAAAAATATTAATTCACATTAACTTTTCAAACCCATGATTTAGGTCACTAGATTTTAAACACCATATCTAGAAAAATTATAAAGTTCAATTCTTCATAAATCAAATATTAAAAGATAGCATTAAAAAAAAATTAATTATACAAAAAAATATACTAACTAAAATAATAAGCAACAATATTTTTAATAATTTTTACTCTATTTTGGCTCCTTTGGGAAAATAAATTATAGAAAGAAATCATGACAAGAAGAT